TAGTTCTGTCGATGACATAGGCACAGGTAATTGATTTGTAGATACCTTCTCATGTATATCTAATGGCAATTTCGAGAGTAGATTCAATAACGGGAACAGTGTCAAATCCGATTGATTTGGTTCTGGATAATCCGATCCGGCTCTTGGATTTCGTGAGTCCGATACTGGCCACGGTCTAGGAATTCCGCATTTTATCCTTCCCGTTCCTGCTAACGGAATGGTGTCGGAATTGTGAGAATTGGATCCAGAATGAGTGGATTCTGAACGTCCTATACTCCCGGGGCTGTTCACTAACCGATTCTTCGGCGTGACGATTAAGTCTGAATGTTCAAGGTCTTTGTGGTTCCGTTCGAATAGCGTGGAGTGAGGCTTCATCGCAACACATGATGAGCCGGTGGTGTATGATAAAGGGTGTTCTGAAGTAGATTGCAATGGTGATGGAGTTCTTCGGGTACCAGGAATCAGTCTATAGGAAGCTGGTATTCCCGAAAACATCGAATTGGCGGCGACGGCTGCCTGTTGTGCGAGTAGGCTTTCCATAGATTCCCTGTAAAGAATAAATAAACAATTTAATGCATACAGGAACAAATTTAATTTCGCAGAAACAAAAACAACTTGAAAGAATTGTCTTATCATTGTTTTGGAAATTGGCCTTGGGCGATTGTGTGACAATGAAACTTGGCGGCGTAGAACGGTAACTACAAAGTTCATATTTAGTCTACTGAAAAAATGCTAGTAGTGTCATCAATTCAGATGCTTATGTCGGTAGATGCATTCTCCCTTCGTCACACAAAACAACACGATATACGGTCTTTACGTAAACAGCCTGGATCAAGTACCATAACACCGGAACTGGAAGCTTAAATTGCGTTTCAAATAATATATTATAGTCCAATGGGTAGTTTGTAGACGGCAAATATTTTTGGAAAGAACGATCTTCAGTATGTGTTTGCGCGTGTGGAGGGGACTGAAGGAGAAAGCAAAATCCTCTGTCTGGAAAAGTAGCGGAGGCCACGAAAGTACAGGAATTCGCTTCTATGTTTATTGTTCATCATGATTATTTGCAATGACTTTTATATCATAACAAAGGATTTCTACAAAAAATTGTAAGATAATATTCGCGCCTCTGTTTAAAAAATACTAGTAGTAATACACTTGATTTGGATTTACCATCTTAGGGACTTCCTCTTCATGCCCAATTATCACTTTATCCATTCCAGTTTACACTTAGGAAGATCTCCGAATTAAAAGTAAACACAACTGCGCAATCAGTTCCCAAAATGAAGAGGTCACAAACTCAAAGATGCCATGAGATTCAGAAGTGGGTAATTAAGTTGCAGTGATGGTATTCGAACACACGATCTCAAGACCAATTTCACGGTGACTATCTGCTCTTAATCTCCAGAATACCAAAAAAGAGCATTCATCCTGATCCAGTGATTCTATTCTCGTTCAAAAAGAAATCTGACTGTTGCTTGCATGGTTATGTCAAACATATTTAGATCAGATACACCTAGTGACAGAAGTATTGCATCCCCTAGGTTTTTGGATTATCTCTGCCACAACATGCGTGATCATTACTGTTTTTAAGGATCCAGAGTGTAACCGCATGAAAAGCTGAAATACAAAATTTCATCAAATTATCTTCGATTTTGACGGAAATTCGTCAAAAAATCGAATTTCCACAGTCATAAATATTGCACCGCCCTACGGGCTTTAAACATCCAACTCTGTTTAAAACAGACATCCCGAGTTTGTACTTCGGTATGGCAACTGTGGTGAGTCAGTGGTTGGCATGCGGTGTAATCTACGACCGTACTCACCTCACTCTAAACGATCTTGCCAGAACAAAAACATTCAAGCAGGTCATTACCAGCTATTGTCAACCATGGGGTGATCGAAAAGGCTTATTGATAACGAGAAATTCAGAAGTGATGTTTTCGTGAGATCAACGTCAGCACACATATGATAGCCAGACTGTGTGGTGGGTCCCGATCGCAGTGTGGTACGATACTGGAGGCAGAAATGTCTCAAAACCAGTCATAAACGGATTGGATGCTAGAAAAAGCTAGTGGGGAAAGGCAAGAATAGATTGCTGGATCTGGCCTCAAACTCTATAATCCATGCATCGGAGATGAAAACAGTGCTTGATTTCAGTGAAAATGTTGCAACGAACATCTGAAACGGTCCCTTAAATGAAATGCAATAAAATGAAAAAGGCGCATATCTCTAACAACTCTGTGAACAGAAAAGCGATTTTTGTGAACTGAAACTCACGTAACTCGGAAAAATGAATGGAATTTCGTCTACTTCCGCGTTGAAAGGTAATTAAAATTAAATGGACGAGACGCGTGGAACTGCTACTAGTGTAATCTGTGAAAAGAACGGTACTTCAGTAAGTAAGCGAATTAACGATCGAATCTCCGAGATGGTGTCTTATCAAACAACGGCCATACCGATCTCCCTATACTACCCATGCGAAGCAAGATTCTGATGCATATATTGGTACACTGAAGTGTCACCTTACGCTAGCAGTGGCAACGAATAATAAAGCTGCAGTCGTTTTCCAGCAAGATATCACAGTAGTTCATAACTCGTATCTAAAAGTACTGGCTATTATTTCACGGCATCCAGACAATTGGCTGACCTGCGTGCAGCCCAAATGAGAACCTAATAGAAAACATTTGGGCTATTCATACCCGAAAGGTGCAGTAACACTTCAGATTTTACACCAAAACCATGAATAGGGCTCGCTCTTGATTAGGGAGTGAAATGATACCGATACGAGCAGTATTCGAAATCTTCTCCGGAGTAATATAGTGACTCAAATAGGTTAAATTCAACGGGGGTGCAATACTTTTGTCGCGGTAAAAATTCGTTATTTTCGACATATTCTTGTTAAAACCTAATATAATTTGATGAAGCTTCCTACTTCGACTCTTCATGCGGTTGCCAACTAGATTCTCAAAAACTGTGTTGATCATGCATATTGGAGCGGAGATAATCCAAAAATCCTGGAGGTGTAATACTTTGATCGCGGGGTGTACAGGACTAATTTCATCACAGGATCAAAATATATCTTGCTACTACTTTTGAACCATTGTCCACATTCGACTGTTTTCAATCTAGTTATAACCCTGGAGGCTAGTGCTAAAAGGGGCGCGGTTTGTAGCCCTCAACAAATTTGTCAAGTTTGGTTGTGCTGTATCGTTTATAGGCAAAATGAAGACCGGTCTGATCAGCGACCCAGTAACCAGGTTGGTAGTACGCTTGTGCTCTACCTGTGACATCCGGACCTTGACCCTCAGTTGGGTCGTTCGATTCGTACTGCTGATGAGACCCAACCAAGTTTTCGGTTCTTATCACGTTTGCTCTGTACATGAAGGACTTCTTTAGGGAGCAATTTCTGGAAGCGTCAATCTTGAAGACCCATCGCGATTGTTCAATGATAGTACTCATGAGTTATGTTCATTTTACTCCAGCAACTTCGACCTATCATTGATAATTCTATAAGAGAACAACAACCTGGCGAAAAGCTGGACAAAATTGTCCAGAAACAAATGACTGTTTTCAACATTTTTACCGCAAATCAAGTTTGTTTGTCCAGAAATCACTTCCTGATTTTTTTCTATTGCCTGTACGGACAAGTTGAAGAATGATGTGATGGACTGGTAGCGAATATACAGTTTCAATGAGCCGTAAGAACCGCAAAATTGTTCGTATGCTTCTAAGACACCTTGTCTATTTCTATACTATTAGTCATATTTGCACACCATCTAGCGGTCCCTGGTTTCCGAATGAGGAATTTCACATTGTGAAAATATTCAGCCTCAATTGGACGAAACGGGACAATATTCATAACTCTGCAACGGGTTTCATCTACATGATGCATACACATAAACCCAGTGACTAAATCTGAGTTGTCAAGAGAACCGAATCGTGAATCATGCATCCATTCGCCCACAATTCTGTGCAGGTCTAGGTGCACGCGCATTGCGCGCGCCAAATCAAACATGAACCGATGATCGGTGAATGAAGTATGCGACCCAGTGTAACCATCTGTCAAGTTGCTCGATTTGGGTTTCGATGAGAGACGGTGTTGTTGACCCGCTTCCTGTCTCGTTTTGTTACTTTCCCCAGAAAACCCGAGTCGATCACAAGCGCGCACACACACACGCACGTATAGTCCTGAGAACGAAATTTCATAGCGTGGATAACAGTGTTGCGACCATTAGGCATGCGTTACACGCGTCAATTCACAGCTGATCGAGGTCTACATGTATCCGTCCATCTACTTACAATCGACCTGATAGATGCGCATCGTTCTCCGGTGGAAGTATGTTTCGGTCCCAGTTTACGATGATTCGATGGGGGACGGAGGGAGCACAAACT